TAACCTCTAAACTCGCAAACTTTAACGTATCGTTTTACGATGCACGTTTTTCTGCCAGATTTTTTCGTTTTGAGTAAAACATGTTAAATGATCAGTACATTTTTATTATAAGATATATATATATATATATATATATCTTAATAAAAATACATAAATTATATATATATATATATATATATATATTTGAGATAGGGAGAGTATTCTAAATAATTACCAAAAAAATTATATTTCTATTATAACATATATATAAATTAATCATAAAAAATGTCTTTAAACTTACCTGAGTATTATCATTATTTTCTATATGAAGGTTATCACTTATACTCTTGTTTTTTGCTTGACATAATTTCTTATAGGCATTTTTTGTAGTTTTTGGTACGGCTCCACTATATAGCCAAGATTTATAATTTTTAGGCCGATTCATTGTTTTTTTTAATGTATATATATATATATCTCACTATCAATAACCTCTTAACAAACAGTAATGTTCGTACATCAGACGAAATTAAGACGTATATGGCCGCTCTCTCTCGAAATATATAGAAGGAATACGACGCATAGCGGCCGAATTTCCGTTATGGATACGACGAAGAAGGACTATATTCCGCGTTTCATGCACTCTTGTTTTTTGCTCGACATAATTTTTTATATTTTTGTAGTTTTTGGTACGGCTTCATTATATAGCCAAGATTTATAATTTTTAGGCTGATTTATCATTGCTTTTTTTACATTAATGTATATATATATATCAATAACCTCTTAACAAACAGTAATGTTTGTACATTAGAGACACAAGGCGAAATTAAGACGTATATGGCCGCTCTCTCTCGAAATACATATATGGAAGGAATACAACGCATTAGCGGCCGAAATTCCGTTATGAATACGACGAAGAAGAACTATATCGTTTCCGCGTTTTATGCATGCGGCATGATATGCGCATGCGCATCATGCGTGAAACCGGAAACGAAACACAGCTAATTAAGAGCTACGTGTGCCACGTGTGGCAATCTAACAGAGAGACATTTTACATATTGTGCACATATGCTAATTGTTACATCATAAGTGGGTTGTTTAGTTATGTACAAAAGATGGCAATTATAACACATGCCTACGTGAGATTTTTAGAAGATGATGTTCGAATGATTGTTGATATCAAGGACATTAAAAGATTTCGTTGTAAGAATGACCAAGATTTCGACAAAACTCGCATATACAACGTTCTCTGGCGCCCGAAAAAGAAACCAGAAAATGAAAACAAGAATAGCGACGAAGATTCTTCTGAAGAAGATAAACCAGCATTTTACAAGGCAAATATTCTTCTTTTAGGCAGTACGTATGTTTTATGGTTATAATACACATGCACGTACGCGTCCACATATACACACACAACCCACGCATTCACTCATATTTTTTTTTTGAATTTTATATTATATATTAATTTTTTATATTATTTATGAATTTGATAAATATTTGTTGCAGCAAGTGAAGAAGATGTTAACAAAAAGTTAAAATTTTGTCGAATAAAATTGCCGAATAAAAAATTAAAATACGAAGACATTTATTCTGATGACGAATTATCTGATGATAGTGATGATAATAACGCAATAGAAAAAAAAGTAAATTACAATTTTTTCATATTAATTTTATAATATTATTTAAGAAGATATTTGCAAAAACATATAAATATTGTACATTTACAGAAATCAAAAGCAGTAGTCTCCAAGAAAGCGGCAAAAGAAATTAGCAAAACAATATTAAAAAAAAATAAATTAAAATTATGTAATGATATTGTTTCATCCGCCTCTGAAGATGAAAATCCTAAAAAAGAAAACAAGAAATCTGAAGAAGAGAATGAAACTTCTGCATTGCTAATTAAAATGTGGGAACAAAAATATGCCGATTTAGAAGAACAATTTAATCATTTGAAAATAGAAATGATGGCTTTAAAAGATGAAAATTATCGATACAAAGGTCTGAATATTATTCTACAACATTATAGACTATTTGGAAATACACAAGGTAATTAATCCTTTTACTATAACAAATCAGTTCATATTTTCTTGCCCATATATTTCTTTTGTACACTACTAAAAAAATTAAAAGATTACTTTTCAGTCAATTTTTTGCTTATTTTTTAACTATTCGATTTATAATTATTCAGCAAATAATTAACGTAAAAATAAGATCAAAAAAAGATTTTGCAGGATAAACTCTCGAACTAATATAGTGCTTTTGTTCAATTTAATACTTAAAGGCATGGTCAACTTCGAGTAAGAATGTATTTGAAATATGTAAAATTTTTAAATTATCGCTTAACAAAAAAATTGGCGAACATAATCATTACTATCTTAAAGCACTGCAGACTTTGCCCTTTCTTTTGAAAAAAAAAAAATTAGTCGTATGCCGTTTTAATATGCAATATGTAAAAAATTATTTAATGAAAAGAAAAAAATTTAGTATATGTATAAGTATATAGATAAACAAAAATTTGTGTTTATATTACAGACTTTATAACCACATTTTAACATTTTAATAATTTAATTTAAACATACTTATTATTAGTAATAACCTAATAACTAATAGTTTATAATATTAACTGTACCTACTTCTCTATTGTAAATATTACTTAATAATTAACATAGTATAAAACAATACTTTTAATAACAAATTTTAAGATATTTTAAAAAATATAAAAAATTGTAATATTAAACTAAAAAATTTTAAAAATAACCTGTGAAAGAATTTGTAGTTAAAAATGATTTGAAATTGTGTGTGTGATCTTTGTTTAAAGTATTATTTTACAATTTATCTCAGGATAGTTTTATTATAATAAATTTTAAAATAAGCTGAAATCATATATTTATAACTTTACTTAATAAATAATAAAAGTTTTAGGAATAAAGTCTGTAAGTGACATAGAAATGGATAAGACAAAGCCAGTGAAAGTAGAAAATATTTCAGGTATTTACAAATTTGCATAATAATAATTATTATTATTATATGTGTGTATGATCTTTGTTTAAAATATTATTTAACAATTTGTCTCAGGACAGTTTTGTTATAATAAATTTTAAAATATAAGTTGAAAATATACTTATAACTTAACTTAATAAATAATAGAAGTTTACGTTTTAGGAATAAAGTCTGTAACTGACATAGAAATAGATAAGACAAAGCCATCAGTAAAAATAGAAAATGATATTTCAGGTAATTACAAATTTGTATAATAATAATATGTACATGATGTATTATATTTACTTAATTATATATGATTTAAAAGTTTTGCATAATTTTGAAAGAAATTTAAAAATTTTACATGCTGTTATATTATATTTGTATATATTTATAATCGTACAATAACACATATTTAAAATTATTTAGATGAACCGGCAATATATGTTAGTAATGATATAAACGGAGAAAAAATGGACATTGAGTTAGTAAAAGAAGAATTTGGTAATGAAAAAAAAATAGAATTTCTTCCAAGATATACAATTTTTAAAATAACAAGAAATGACACAAAGGTAAATGATATTTATACAATACCAATGAAATATAAATAATTATACAAAAATGAAAATAAAAGATTGTGTATATAAGTTATAAAATAAAATTTATAATATATTACAATATATAAACTACGTATAGGTTAATCGTATACATTTGGGTGATGGTGTTGTTATCGACCTAGACGTGTGGGAAATGATACAAACCAAAAGACAAGATTCCAGATTTGTTAAAGACTTGGCTATAGCCATTTGGGGACGGCATGTATTAATAAACAGATCGTTAGATGGAAAAGGAGGGCAACGGCTGCCAAATCAGGAAGAAAAAAGAAAAATTTTAACACCATCAAAACGTGAAGTTCTAAAAAGTAACTATTTCTAATTCCGATTTAATTAACAAAAGTGTGATGATATAAATAATTATTTTATTTTTATAATATTTTAGAGTGTTTTGAAGATAGATTGCGATCCCAAAATGTAAAAGGGGAACAGTTTCACAATACTTTAAAGAAAATGGGATGTTATTTAACAGAATTAATTAATGATCTCATTAAAAGAGAAAAAAAAGAAATAGAAAAAAGGTAATATTAAAATAGATAAATAGAATAGAAATAAAATTATAACAATATTTAATATTAATTAATTTTGTATAATTACAGGAAAATGACCAATGCGGACTAAATTTTTAATATAAAATCTGAATAAAAAAAAGGGAAAAAGAAACAGACGAGCAATTTTATTTTATTTTATATACGAAAGTATTGAAACATATATATTATATTGAATTAGTTGAAATTTTATTTTGTTATCAAAGTTCTAAACAACTAAGTTTAATTGATTATACCTTTTTTACTAAAAATATTAAGCTATTGGTTTTATTTTTGAAAAAACATAATATGTTATAATGTGTAAGATCGGAAGAGCACAC